CCCCAATCAGCCGCTGCTTGCTTACTTTACACATAAATTGGCAATACTGCAACAGAAGTGAGCCAGAAAATAAAATCAAGAAAGTAAAATATATAAATACACTAAACTTTAACTTAAAAAAATTTTAAAGATTTAAATTTTTCAATATAAAAACTAAAAATAATAGTAGTAAAGAGCTAGAAAATAGGAACCATGAAATTTATTATAAACTTTCTTTAATAAAGTTTTAAAAGAAACCCCCTAAGACTCCATTTATTATCTTTATTTAAATTTTCTATATTTTTAAATTCCCTATTTTTGACCAAATAGTTCCAATACCCTTCTATATTATTTAAAATTTCATTTCCTTTAGTACTTTGACTTTTTATGGATTTCAATACGTTTTCTCCCCAATACCATCCAAAGAAAATTTATGAGCCATGTTTAAGAAATGAAATTTTGGGCAGCTGCCTTTCCTTGAATTGATTAACAGTTGGATAAGATTTTTGTTTAATTACTGCGACAGAAAAATAAATTCACTTCTGCAGTGAGATAAATTTCCATCAGATTCCAGCTTGGCATAAGGCAGATTTTTGAAGCACTTTGCAAATTGTTTTCTAAGCACACATACACTGACACGAAGTGTCCTAAGTGGAAAGGATGTTCAGGTTTTTGGGGAAGTGGGGTGCCAGAAAAGTGTCAGCAGAATAAATGCTGACAATAAATAAAAATGGAAAATGATTGAAACATGTGTCGGGTATTTTCGATTTTTTGATATGCCATGCACGTTCTACATATGTATATGTATGTATGCCACTCACCTACCCCCCTCTGGCCATGTTTATTCATCTATTCCTGGCATTGTTTCTCCACTGAATCGGCGTATGTCAATAGCCTGGAAATGTAAACAAATAAGAAAGCAATCAGAGGCGACATTTTCTAACCTAACGTGGGTGCGCACAAAAGTATGCTATAAAAAATATGATGAGTCTGACGAAGTTGCGAGAAATGGGAAAGAAAAGGCAGTAGCTACAGTATGATATGGAATAATACGTTTTCTCATAAAAATTGTTGCTAAAAGAGTGTTCACATTGTACTTAAATGAGGTTAAGGGCGTGGCTTTAACTTCTAAGAATTTTGTTTAAGAAAAAGCTTTATTAAGAAAATAATTCAATATTTGTTCATTTTAAGAGTTTCTTTTTTTAACTTTTATTCCAAGAACCGTAGCCAATTAATTTCGTTTGACCCCTTTCTAAAGCCATAACCCTCCATAACCCATTTAATATCAATAACCCATATTGATGGCATTGAATGACAAGCCCAACTAATACCATATTGATTGCCTGACCAATAAAAGGCCACCCCACTTGGACCCAGTCCACCCACCGGGGCATTTGCACCACATAACTCGGCATCAGACAGGCGCATCCTGTTGAAGTATAAAAGGGTTTATGGCTTGTTTGCAAAACGCCAGAAAGGCAAAAATATAAAAAATGAAAAATAAATAAAAATAATAATAGCACAAAGAATGGAAAAACAAAATCCCGAACAAACATTAATTTGTAACGCACGTTTGGCCAATTTCGGTTTTACAATTCTGACCAAAAAATGTACCCCAAGTGACCGCATAACGAGCGGAAATCAATTTGCCACGTTGATAAGCAACCCTCCTCCGAGGACGATGATAACCCTTTTTTTTCTGATCCCTTTATCCATTGGGCCTTTGCTGTCATAGCCGGGGATTTATAGATATTAAATTAGACAGGATTTTAACACGCGCACGTAACTTTGACATACATCAAGCCGACTTAGCTCTGCAGCATAAAATAAAAAGACAAAAAACAATCCCAAATAATGCAAATTGTATGCCAAATGTTGAGATTTGTTTTGCTGACCGAGCCAGAGCATAAAAAATCTGTGGGTGTGTATTTTCCAATACGTATTTTCCACACACATGTGGCCCCAGATGTCTCGGCCTTCGGCTCCTGCGGTTGCCCCAATTTCACTCCGAAACGCATTATAATCATAATAATAATAATAACAGTAAGCAAAGATGACAGCAAATTTCAAATAGGTGTGAAATGAAAATTCTGTTGTGTATAGATTGGTCAGCAGTTGGTTTTTTGGGTTGCGGGCTTCGGGTTTCGGGGGTTAAAAGGGGTCAGTTCACAAAGTCACATATGGTCGACTGCTAATGGGAAATTCAAATTTGGAAAAGGATTATTGACCAAATATTGGCTGGTTTCTTGGGGGGGAGTTGGATTTTAGTTTGGATTGGTCAAGTGTCCGGTCTGGGATTTCTAAAATGGCCTAAACAAATGCTAATGGTTTGCTTTCCAGTTTAAGGCTTAATCTTATTGTATTAAAGTGTTCTATGCCAAGCTATTTCAGCTCTGCAGCTCTTCTTTTGTTGCCAGCAAACAATAATGTTGTAAATAACAAAGATTGCAACAAATCCAAAAGTCTTTCAAAGTCTTTCATTCATTTATAGTTTAATGAACTGTGTGAACCCACAGTCCCCAGTAAAAACCCCAATCCGTGACATTAGCCATGGCTCTTTACTTTTTCAACTGGCCTCAGTTGAGCTCAGATTTTAGGGCCAACATGTGAAAGAAAATAAAAATCTCACAAATTATTTATTAATTACCCGGCCAAAGCAATGCTGGGTCTATTTTTTTTGTAGCATTTTTGTGTAGCATTTTCAATTCTCTGCTTATCGATATTGTAAATTGTAAATTGTAAATTTTCTCCAGCTTCCTTTTCTATTTTACATTTTCCTTGTTTTTTTTTTTTAGCACAATAAAACAATAAATCAATCAAAGTTAGGGTTTCTGTTGTTTTGTTATCTTAGGGCAAGTTTTTAGTGTCTTGTTAAATTTTTTGTGGGCCTCAAATTTTTAGAGCTCTTTTCAGTAAACGGAAAAAAAATATTTCTATATTGCAATACTATTTAATATAAATTAAGTTTTTAAAAATATACAAACCCTTTTTAAGAAATATTTTATATGTCATTGATAAATATTATTCAAAAATTAAATACAATTTTTTAAACTTTATTATTTTTTCTTTATGTTTAGTTTGAGATCTGTTAAGTACGATAAGAGAAAATACCATGACATGTTTTCTGCCATGCATAAATTTCTATTGAATTGTTTAGATGAAAAGCAAAAGATGCGGGTTGTTTAGTAAAAAATTAGAGAATGGGGAGCTGAGGCTGGCTTTTTGGGGGGCTTAAAGTTTTAGCAGCCAACATTTTTATGGGCCAACAAAGTCAATTAAATAAGAAACACAGTCGAAAATCAACAAGCTGGAAATGAGAACCTGAAGACTGAGAGCCGGTTTTTCTGCCCTCTCTTTCGTACAATCACTCCCCGTCTCTTTCATTCAACAATGGCGGCTTGGAGGCGGAGCCTCTCTTTCCGTTCCGATTTCCATTTCGTTCCTATTTTTCCCCGCTTTGTGTGAGTAAATTAAAATTTTGTGTAGTTTATTATTAAATGAAGCGCATTTTTGTATTTGTATGTGGATCTCTGTATAGTATCCTGTGCGTGGGCATGTGTATGGATTTCGCAGCAACAGCAGCATTTTTATATAGATAAACAGAAAAATAAATCGCTGGCCGACGGTGGGTTAACAATCCCCCAGACCCCAGATAGGCACATAATAATATTAAAATGTTAATTAGCGTATTAATTCAGTTTGGCGTTGAAATAATGGGAAGGGAAAGAAGCACGTCACAAATATTGTAAGATATTAAATAATGAATTTTCCTTAAATAATTAATAAATTTAAATAAATCTTTAGTAAAGAATTCATTACTCTTCCTATTTTAAGCCAGATTTATTAATTATTAAATGTTATTTTAAAAAAAAACTATTTCAAGCTACATTACTTATTTTTGTCTTCTTATTTATTTATATTTTTAATAAACCCTTTTCCAATTAAGCTCAAAAAATTTAATAATTCTCTTTTTATTAATAACCCATCATTTCCCGTATACCTCATAACTTTTTCCAACTTTTTCTCTTAGTTTTCGGTCAACATTTATTGCTCTCATTTATCGCCAGAACAATTTTTAATTATTTAAATGAATAAGGCCAGCGAAAAAAGCTGCCAGTCGTCTCAATATTTATAGCTTTTTAAACAAATAAACAGAGTTGGCAGTCGACAAAAAGGGCCACCCACAATCCACCCACCCACAGCGAAAAAGCCATGAAAATGCACTCAGGGCCACACACCGATATGTGTACGGCGGAAATACTACGGCGGAAACTCTCGACTACGGCGTAGGATGCAAGAAAGAGAGGGGCTGAGGGAGAGCGAGTGAGAGAGTCCCAGGCTCCAATCCGAATCCGAAATAGTTGATTTTAATGATGTACATAATAAAATTCCCATTCGTTTTGTGCCAATGCCACTGCGTTCCAAGCCGGAGTTTCCTGTGTTTACACTGATTGTGGAACACGGGTGTGTGTGTGAGAGAGCAGTACCCAGATTTATCCGCTAAGGGAGCGAACGAGACAGTCGTATATATGGCCGAAAGACAGGGTTGCTGTGGCCCAAAACCCCGACTCTGAAAACTGAAACAGAAACCGAAACTGAAACTGAGATTGTGCGGCCAAGTGAACTGAGACCAGTCAATTTCGAAATCATTCGCTACCCGTAGGCCTAAACAAGCGGACACGCGCGCGTCTCGGCTCTAAACAGAAGTTTTTTGAATATAAACTGATCACGTAAATCGGAAAATATTCAGATATAATAGATCAAGGAATATGAACCATCATTGGGATACTGTTTAAAGTGCTTGTGTTACGATAACTCTATAAAGAAAGCAATGAAAAAGGTGAAAAATAATAATCTAAAATTTATAATAATAATCAAAAGAAAATAAACTTCACAAATTATAAAATAATAATATTTATAAAGTGATCTCTTTCAAACCACTTCAAATTAAAGTCTTTAAGTTGAAGCCTATGGAATAATAAAGTTTAACAAAGAACCTCCTAACCAACAAAGATCTAAGGATTTCCTTAAGGAGTTCAGCCAAGCTGGGTAGTCCATTCCTGAATCTGACCACGCCGGCGGGTGGTAGCAGCAACCCCTCGCCCACCGCCACACCTGTACCGCTTCCGGACGCCAAGGTGGCGGCCAAACAGCTGGCCCAGAGCTTCCAGCTGTCCGCCAACTCAGCCTTCAATCTCGCCCTGCCGCCGAGCTTCTATCGCCACCAGCCGGCCCAGCAGCAGCAGCAGCACTCGGAGTGCTTGGACTACGGACACGAAACGCCGCCGGTGGACATGGATCTGATAAATCCGTATATGCGGCATCACAGCTTTGCGGCGGCCGCCCAGGGATCGCCGCCGTCGGCTGCCCAGCGCCACCATTTGGCGGCGGCCATGAGCAATGGATTCGCCGATGTCCACGCCCATGCGATGGCGGCAGCGGACTACCAACAGCAGTTGGCCGACTATCACAGTGCAGCTGCTGCAGCGGCAGTTTATGCAAATAATAACAACAATAACAACAACAATAGCAGTAACAACAACAACAGCAGTCCTCTGATGCTGCTAAAGGCGGCACATGGTGGTGGCCTTAAGGATTCGGATTCGCCCTCGACCACACCGCCACCCGCCTCCTCCAGACTCCATTCGGACTCCTCGCCATCGCCGCGGTACGAGCACAACTCCAGTCCCGGGGTGGACAGTGCCAAGTCGTACGCCCTCAGTCAGAGGAGCAGTGGCGGAGAGGATCCCTGCCAGAACAGTGAATCCGCCAGCCCGCCGCCCCAGCCGTCGAGCGACTACAGTCCCGAGAACCTCTCCAGTCAGCGGGCCAAGTTCCAGCACCATCACCACGGGGTCAATCCTCTGGCTCTCCACAATCACCATCACTCCAGCGGTAATGCCGCTCTCCACCACAACAACAACAATGCCATGGATCACAAGCTACCACTCAGTTTCCTGGGTCCCCCGCTGGCTGCCCTTCACTCGATGACCACGGAAATGAAGAGTGTCCAGGGCGGAAGTAACAGTGGGGGTGGAGGTGCCTCGGCGACCGGAAATGGTCTCTCCTACGGCCATAGTCCCAATTCACATCTGATCAGTGATCGGGGTTCTGGCGGTAGCTCCTCTTCGTCCTCTACCACGGCCACCACCACAAACAGCCAGGGAGCCGCCAATCCGCATGGCATCGACACGATCCTCTCCAAACCACCGCCGGTCACATCGGCAGGACTAAGTGCTTTAACAGGAGGTGAGTAGGGGATAAGGTTTTTAAGGGTTTTGAAGGATAATATAGGAGATCTAGATTTTTAAGAAAGATATCTTTCTAAAATACCAAGCTAACTCTATGTAGTACTACCTCTCTTACTTAGTCCCTTCCTTAAGCAATCCTAACCAGTTCAGCAACCACTTATGCAACTTTAAAATATATATTGCATTTCAATAGATATTATGTATGCAGCAACAAATGCCCACAATTGAAAAAAAGACGAAATATTTTAAATGCTTCAAAAACTCGTTTCGCAAACCAAACAAAAACTACGAGGGGGGAAAAAATAAAATAATAAAAGCCCAAATACCCCAAAACGAACAAAAACGAGAAAAAAATGGTGTTTTGTTTACGAATCCGGTTTGGCATGATTCCATATGATTCAATAAAGGCAATTGCCACCACGGTGCCGCCCAACACCCACTGGTGTCGGACCCCTTCCTGACCCTTTACCTAATCAGGGCAATTCCAAAAATTGGGCACAAACTGTATGGGATATATGTATGAGATCTGAAATGGTTATAATATCCAATTGCAAAATTTGCGGCAAAACGTAATGAGATACGCGTTTTAACGTTAAATGTTGCAGCAATTAGTTGTCAAATTGTTTGTAATTAAATCAAAATGACACACGAAAAACGTGGGTAATAGAGGGGGTTTCTGGGCTGGCTATTAGGTTTCGGTTTGTTGGCTCGGTGGATTGGTGGTTATGACGCTCTCTGTCGTTCCACTAAAATGATTTTGTTTTTTCTGGCTTTCTGTCTTTTTGGCTCTGATTTTTCGACAGTTAAATGTGGACCAATTGTGAGCCATGTCAGTGGTTGAGGGACGGACAGGGTGCTGACAATTTGCCATAACATTTTTAATTATTTTTAACGAGGGCGTTTATGTGATTTGATTCGTTCAGTTTTTTTGTACCCCCGGTTTCTCCTTTCAATGGTTTTCGGTTTCGGTTACCAAAAATGTTTCTCATTCTTTTTATGACAAATTATTTAATGGCTTTTAATTAATTCGAACAAATTCCGTATTGTGTGTGTGAGTTCGGCATGAGTGGGCACAATATTTTTGGCCAGCTGAGAACAAATTGAGCGAAAACCTATTGAAGTTGGAAGCCAACTTTTCAGGGGATTAGTTAATGGGGTTGGGTATTTCGATAATGATTACACAACCGATCATGACAATCATGATTGGTTTAAGACTTTTAATTAGAACTACTCTTTTATGAGAGTTTAGTTATGAGATAAAAATATTTTAATAATTATTAAAACTAATTTAAAACAATATATATTTCTCTTTCCAGCTGGCATTCCCCGCTTCTCCATCGCTGCTGCTGCGGCGGGCATGGCCCAGTATCTGTCCCAGAGCCAGGGGACGCCGCTGAAGACCCACGCGGGTCATATCGTGGACCGCACGCACCTGTACTGGCCCGGACTGCAGGGACTGGTGGCCAATCCGATTGCGTGGCGCGAGCGGCTCTCCAACACGAGTAAGTAGCGGGGGCCACCTGAAACGGACAAACACTAATTTGCGGTTGATGGATCGATTTCTAAAGATATAATGGGTGATGGCTGGTGAATCGGGTGCGTAATTTGGTTACGATTGTCACGACGGCCGCACCTCTCACTCTTGCCATTTCGACCGACTTCCTGTAAACGGGGCAGAGGCAGGGACTGGGAGTGAATCGAAATCGGATCCGATCTGGGCAACCGTTAACAAAGCGCAGCGAATGCCCAACTAATGATCACCGCAGTGATCAGGCGATGGGCTTCTCAAGTGATTACCAATATGGCTCACAAAAGAAGGAAAGGGGGCTGGCTGGCTAGCTGCAGCACCATTGTCCAACTCATTAATAAGTGTTGAGGAATCACTTTGACACGATCAGTGGAGGGTTCACCGAGAAGAGCTCTCTCGATGACTCCACACAAAAGCATCGATAATGATGCTGACGATGGCGATGGGATGGCTCCACATATGAAAAATTAATTTACTGGTCTCTCCGATTTCAGATCTCTGATCTGGTTACTTCATTATTACATCTATTTATAGGCATCGCTAAGCTCATTAAGTAATGTGCCACCAGTTCGAAACTCGTTTCCCTGACCATCTCCCCATCTTCTCTCGCTTCCAATTGTTTATTTGTTTAAACTCGATCATCATCACTATCTCCGTCGTTATCGTCTTTGGGTTCGCATTGGCAATTGATTTGATTTAGTGCTGTGGGCTACTGCTGCTGCTGCTGTTTGCCTTTTAATTGCGGCCATGAGTCGGCACAAATCTTGGCCGGGTCTTGGCCCAAACTCGGAAATCGTTCATAATTTTCCTGCATTCAGGCGATCAATTCGAATCGGATTCGGATTCGAATCGTGGCAGATACTCTGTGTTTATGTTTGTCTTGTGTTCGACTTGATTTCTGAAGTGTGTCGTTAGGTGCCGAGGAATTTTCACGCTTTTGGTAGCTCGGCCAGTAACATTAAGCAAATATTGATTTAATTGATTTGCCAAACAGAGCACTGATATCTAAGGGATAGGTGGAAAAGTTTACGGGATATAGTCAGAGAAGTAAATGAGGTAGTCTGAAAAGGCACCCTAAGTTCTGGCTTACAAAAATATACGCTTTGATTTAAAAAAATATAAGAATACCAGTTACGACTATATCTTAAAGCCTTAAACACTCAATCTGTTCAGTTTTATTGACCATTTTTCTTACACAAAGGAAAATCAATACTTTATATTCGAGATTCTCAGACAAGCGGCCATAAACATAAACTTGAATTTGAAAAACATGTTTCAATTGTCAGTGGCTCCGCCTCATTGTTTCCACATCATTTCTGTTTTGGTTAACTTTGGACGACGCCGAAAACAATCTCATATATTCCCTATTTACATAAGCGTACATCTATTTATTTTTTTTTTTATATCTATTTTTTATTTATTTGTACACATACACGTATTTATGGCTGGAAAGATGCGACAGCTGTTGGGCCCAGACGGAAAAAACTTTCACAGTCGGAGGGAAAATGTTTAAGGCAGACCGACTGCCTGTCTATATACATAATGTATTATATAGGAAGATAAAGGCAGACACAGACGCTGCGAGAATATGTTGCCACATTATTATCTAGCAAGGAGACGAGAGCCCCAAGCCCCCATCCCAGGGGTGGCTGTGTTTTATTTTTTGGGTTTTCTGTTTATTCCGAAATGGAGCAGGAAGCATATAAGCCTGCTGGTGGGCGGGTAAGTGTGGGTTTATGTGCTTGTAGGCTGTCATGTTAACAAGGGAGAAAGCTTTCCCCCGGTGTCAGTATATGCGTGTGCGCACAACCCACACCCACACACCCATACATGCATAATAATCGCCATTATTTGAATTTGTTTCCATGCTCTCGAAAGTATGCTATGATTTTTTGTTCTACCATTTTTTTTTAGGATATTTTATTTGTTATTAATAATGCAATTGGGTTTGATTAGCTGGGTTTGGGTGCTTGCAGCCGGTATTATTTACTCTTTGATTAAGCCAGGAATTTTTTCATTTAATATTCTATTTGTTTACATAGGCATTTCCACCTGTTTATGGCTATCATGGCATTTATTTTGATTGTTCATTATCAATATTTGTCTGGCAATTCATTAATGGCAATTTATTGGCTTTGAATTTGTGCAAGTTCATTGCAGAATTTTATTTGTTTTGATAAAAAAGGATTAGTAATGATAGGGGATATATTATTAGGTGTATAGATGGGGTAGGTTAGTTATCAAATGGGTCAGACTCCCAGATATTCTTTTGAATCATAATAGAGGGGTATGAATATGTTGGTTACAGAACTTCCTCCCATTTCTTTTTCACTTCCACTTGTTCCTTTTTATTCATTAAAAACAAAATTAAAATAAAGCGGCCAACCGCACTCTGCTAATGAAATAATTAACTTTGGCATAAAAAGTAAATACAGGACGAGAGGCAAAAGGATCATAAATCCGGAGAGGGACAGCTACAGTAACCGCAGTGAACGTTTGACACAATTCATTAAGCTTAATGAAGACAGCTTGTCCCGAGACCCAGTGGGAGCGAAAAGGATGCCACTGCCTCGTCTAGCTGTTGCGTTTAATTAAAATTCAAGTGGCATTTTCTGTGTCATCCCCTCTGGGATGTGTGCCCCCACTGCCTATAGCCAACTCCAGTAAAACTTGTGCTTTAAGCATATAATCGGGCATAAAACAGGCCATAAAACACCGCAGACAGGGACGGCAACAGTGGCACTTAATGAGCCAAGCCGAGTCCTTTACTACCCACATACACCAGGTATCCCCACACGAGAAAAAGGTGCAGATTGCTGGGAGCATGAAGTTTTATGCTTCACAACCAGATTGGCTTGAATGTTTTACAAGATTGTTATTTCAATGTGAGAAGCGATTGTAAATGATTTTCAGTTTAATGAGGGAGTGGGATCATTGATTTATAATTTAATTAAAACCTAACATATTCGTGCTTAAAGTCTCTTGAATCTGTGAGGCTAAACACTTCTTTCCTCATTATTTTTTATTCGAGTATAAAGCCAGATAATAAATGACATTTTAATATTTTCAATAACGAAAACCGAAAACAGTTGACGCCCACCTTGGCCTTATTCAGTTGCCACCCCGCCACAAAACAGAAGGGCACAATAATGACAAAATATATTAGAGCCGTAAAAAAATACGTATTTTGTGAAATAATAAAAAAATGTGCAAAGAATATGAGCAAGATGCCCTGCCGGAAAAAAGTGCAAATGCAGCTATGCCAACAGGGTGACTTATGCGATTATAGACAACTGCCGCTGACTCGGGCGCAAGGACGCAAGGACTCGAGGGGCGTGAATGAGGCGGGCGATGGTGGGGGTGGCGCAAGAAAACAAAAACAGAATGGGGTGGAGGTTGCCCCGCTGCCATTTCCATTTCATTGCATTGCGTTTGAGGGCCGTGACATGAGCAAATAAACGCTTCATATTTGTCGGTTATTTATGAGGGTCCTTCCATGGACGCAGCTGCCAACCGCCGGGCCGGGCTGGGCAGCCAGTGCGAAAGGGAGAGGGGCTGAGAAGAGAATAAAAAAAAATTATCACTGCTACAATTTTTCTTGCAAGGGATTACGCTTGTTACATGCCGGCTGCCTGCCCCACCACCCCTAGTCCTGGCGTTATTGACAAGTCCTGTTAAGCTTCAGAATTGTCTGCGAACAAAAATAAAAAAGATATAAATATTATTACATATATTTTTAATATATTCTTTTTCTTAAATTTCAACTTTTTGGTTAAACCCACATGAAAATTGTCCTTATCTATACGAGTCGTTAGAAATAACCATTTAAATTAATATTTCTGCGCAAATGGCACCAAAGTATCATAAAGGGACACAAAGTTTTAACCCAAAAAGTGGGGGAACATCCCACCGCCACCCACTTTTAAGGACAACGGCTGTCTGTGGGTTTACCTTTTACCAACCTCATTTCCCCCTTTTTGTGCCAAGTCGCACCCCTTTTGGGTTCCGGCGTCGTGCATGTTTAGTTAAATCATTTCACATAATTAGGGATCATTTAATAATGGGGTGACATTAATTGAAAGCACACACACACACCCACCCTGGGACACCCACCACCCCACTCAGCCTCCTGCCGCCTTCAGGTCTCTCGCCAATCCCACTGCTACCGTTTACTTTTATGACCTCCCTCCGACCATGTCCACTTGACTGACTTTACGAGCCAACAGGGCACGTAACCCCCACTTACTCTGGAGCGGGGGTGGTCTTCTGGTGGGCGTTCTGTTTTCAGACCACTTGGCTTGCTTTTATTGGCCTCTTGCTGTCGCTGGCCTCGTCCTCGTCCTCGTCGTTGTCGTTTTTGCTAATTGATTTTAATGAAGGCTCCCGAGGACCCTCCGTCCTTCTTGTACCATAAATTGCTGCGGTCAATTTCGGTTTGTTAATTGTGCAAACGTGTGCATGGGGAATTTTTTATTTGGTTCTTTCATACACACACTTTGGGCCCCCACTTGTAATTAGTATGCAATTATTGTGTGGCCAGAAAAATAATATTTTGCAAAGTAGAAAAAGGTATATATTCCTTCCATATTCCTTGTCATCCCCTAAACACCTTTAGGATTGTCCTTTGTCCCAAAACTTTCTCCTCAAATTAGCAGCTGTCGCCTCGTAAACAATTAATAAATGTCGAAAACTTTTATGCCGCAACAACAGAGCCATTTCCAAACCACCCCAGGATGCGCCAACAACTTTGTTCCAACATCTTTATGGCGACATCATTTAACAATTCATAATTATTCTAAAATTTTTGGAAAGGGGCTTGAAGTATAGATTTTAAATAGAACTTGTAAACAAGGTACTGTAGATGTAGAACTTTATGAAATTTGAAAAGTTTTAGGGCAGTAATAACTTTAGGAATTTTAAAGATATTTTACAAACGTTTTTGTTTTTCCTTCGCAGTGTCTGCAAATCTATCGCAATCCCATCAGCATCATCCATCGAACGACAAGGATGGCAAAAAGAAACACACCCGCCCAACATTCAGTGGTCAGCAGATCTTCGCTTTGGAGAAGACATTCGAACAAACCAAATACCTGGCCGGACCAGAGCGTGCCAAGCTCGCTTATGCCTTAGGAATGTCCGAGTCGCAGGTTAAGGTAAGTCGCAAAAATTAGTAATCTTCACCAAAAACCCGACTGGAACTAAGACTTAAGCCTTCGGCGAATTCAAATTAAAAACTCATAAAAATGGCGGTTGAGGCAATCAACCCAAAAAACCTAAAAGAACTCCACAAAAAGGTAGACAGGAGAGCAAAACTCCGCTTATTTTGGCCCTGACTTTACTCACAAAATTTGCATTTTTATTGAAAGGCAAATCTCGTGGATTTCGGCCGGAATACCCCGGAATACAAAATGGCGCCAATGGGTCTCAATGGTCGCCCCCGGTCCATAGGGATATGGCCCAAAGGCTTAGTGCAATGTGTTATTGTGCCACCCTCGTGGAACACCATTTTAAAGTTCCCTGTTTTTTATTTTCCACCCATATCAACAACAACAAAATAAAAACGAAGGAAATGTTATCAACAAATAAATCCTTTGTGTCGTCAAATTTGTTGTCATCAACTTTTGTTGTAATCCGACCCGGAAAACGCACGTGTCATGGTCTCCGGTCTGGGATTTGTATCTTTTCCACGAGTATCTGTATCTTTTTCCGCGCATCTGTAGCTGAGCTGGGTTGGTTGGGGTAATTTTGAATTAGGTGTAAGCTGGGAAAGTTAATTGCTTTGCGGTGGGGCTTCCCAAAAAAAACGGTGGCGAAAGAGTTGGCCCAGAATCTACATATACTTATGGATATCTATTCGAAATCTGATACCCTAATAAGAAGAACATGATTGCCTCATTTGTGTGACATTTCTCCAAAAATTTAGCATCCCCCCCTTAGAAGGATAGCCTTTTCTCGCCACACAACTGGGCGCAATCAGGAGTGGAAAAGAAATCACGTTTATGATGAGGAAAAATGATTAATTGCCAAAGAATGAGGCACAGGGCATGGACACAGACAGAGACAGGGACAGAGACAGAGTCAGGGAGAAAACAGAGATAGAGATAGATAGATGAACATTCAGGATTGATGGCTTGAGCTGCAGCTAAATATGCGTCATTTTGTGCTAAGGACTAAACAGGACGAGGGAATGGTATGGAGCGGTGGCAGAGAATGCGCTGATGACGAGTACAAATGGACAGAGAGATGAATGGAAACTGCAGGATTTCGGGTTGAATCGTCTCCACATCCTCCAACCTAGCTCTGTCTTTTGTCCCTGTCTCTTTCTCTGGCTATGGGGCTGTCTCTTTCACTGCTCATCTCGTCTCGTCGCTCTGATAGACATGCCAAATGACTGCATGACTTTTGGGTGAGTGTAAATTAAATTCTGGACCCCCCGAATGGTACAAAATGCTGGAAGGACATGGCCAGGCGAAACGACGACCATCCTGTCAGCTTCATACATATTCAATTAGTGTGCGTGCATGTGTGCGAGAGTGTCTGTGTGGGTATGTGTGGGACAGATGAAAAACAGTCATGACGATGATAGTATGCAAATTGACAAACAAAAAGGCAGAAACTGGACAACAGCCGCCCATACCCCCAAATTATGACAGACAGACAAAATGCAAAGCAGACAGGACAGTGCACTTGGAGAAATAACTTGAAGAACTTTAAAGATTCATTTTTAGAGCTTTGGAATAATTTCTTTCAGTGCTGTGGCCTGAGTGGGCGGCTGGCCAAATGATCTTGACAAGAATAATTGCACTGTTATCATAATTAAAACCGTTTTTGGTCCCAGAGAGAGACCGAAAGGGAGCACCGCTTTCGTCCTTTGTTTTAGCCATCATTTAATGCAAATGGTCGCCATTTTGTACACTCTTATGAGCGGGGGAGGTAGTCCCTGCCAGCCCCCCCTCCCGGTTCTCTCTTGTGAATTATAGCGTCTGTGGCCATTATTAATGACATTCCATGTGTTTGTATGGATATGGGTGTGTGTGTGTGGTCCTATAGTCCTCCTATAGTTAGGAGGTCGAGTCGAGTTCCGGCAATAAAATTATAGCATGTTTTGTTGTTATAGCTTTTTCGTGATTTTTGCCCTCACTTCTCTGTTGTTTTGCATAAATGTAATGGCATTTTGGATTCCCTGATTGTCCAGTCAATGTATGTAAACACTTTGGTTTTGGCATTGTTTTGCCAAATAGTAGTAGGTGGATGGAAATTATGGAAACGAGGAGGTTTAGGATCTGCTGCCATTTGGGGTAATTGGCTTAAAGGAAATGATAACTTGTACAAAAACAAAGCTTGGCTTTTAACAGAGGTATACCCATTTGATTTCTAAGAATTTGTAAATATTCAATAGCCATAAAGGAATATGGTTAAGTGCCATTGTCCAAAGATGGAAACACTATTTTATTATGACTAAAATGGCCTTTTATGATCTGTTACCTTTGATTAGACAAAGAGCTAGCCGCATAATTAGCACCAGAATAATGAAAGCTTATGGACCAAATCCAATTCGAGGCGACTGTCAGAAGTGACAGTTTTGGCCAACGACAATGGCCAACTGATGCCCGAATACCGATGATGGCCGATGCGAAGTGACAGGCCAACAAGCTGACAATAGGACCAGTTCATAAAAACTTATGACAGAAATGTGAAATAATGTCTAATTGATTTTTTTTCTCTTTTCGGGACGAGGAAGAATTCTTTTGTTGTCGACTAATGGATTTGATTGTGTGTTAATGAATGGGTTTTTTGGTTAGAAATTTACATATATAGAAGGTAGGGAAGTTAGACGTCTTCTAGGGCCGCCATCATTGCTCAACAATTAGGCAAATATCCCAAAAGAAACAAATATCGAAACCAAATGCATTTTATGGCTTGAAGCCAGAGTTGGCCTCAGGTTTATGGCTACAAAATACAAAATCAAATAAATCACAAACTCACATAAATACCGAAAGAGAGCCCATATAAAGAGCAAGGGCGAGCCGGCTCTACGGATTCCAAAATTTACGAGCCAGAACTACAAAAAAAAAAATACACTGGGACCCACAAGCGCAAACACACTTACCAAAATAAATAAAATAAAAAAAAAAGGAGAGATCTGTGGACCAATAGGAGGGGCAAGAAAACAAAAAACCAACAAGGGGGAGATGGGGGTGAAGCCAACTTGTCAGAGGTCGATGTTACCAAAAAGGTATTGGTATTGGCCATCGGTGTGCAGCCATGTTGTAAATTTTCATGACTTTTAAGTATCTACCCCCCCTCTCCGCCAGAATAAAAACGACCCCTCCCATCGAGGAGCACGCTCATACCCCAGGTGACCCCGAACAGGACGCGTAAACAAATAAATTTCCAATTTGCCCAAAGAGTCATATATTTCGCTTTGAGGTTTTGACATCCCGTCCGTTCCTACGAAATTTACATAACACTTTTTATCCTTATCTGGGGCCCACCTGACGGATGGGCCCAGGAAGAACACGAATCGGCCCAGGAACTCCCGCTGTGGTGCCAAAATGGAATATGTTTTATAACGTTTTCGTTTTCCCTTTTTAGCCTTCTGGCTGGTATTGTTTGTTGCGGAGGTGCTGCTGGGTGCTCCTGACGCAATAAATAAATCCCAATTCGAAATCGAAGCGTAACGTTACCAAGTCGAATTGATTGCCACAATATTTGATTGACTTTGACATGTTGGCTGTCATAAATCCTTTTTCCTTGACCATCTCTCCGGAATCAGCTATTTGTCCGTACCTGGCCAAAAGACGGCGCATCTAAGTTCTCAGCTGTTGGCCATAAAAGTGTTTGTGAAATTCCCTTAGCTCCCCAGACTGTGTGGGTTCTACAAAAATAAGATAGATACTTCTGTGGAAATTTAATCAATTTTATTATAAGGTTCATGTTTGTATTAAATTTTGAATTTAATCATCCCTTAACTTCAATATATTCCTCAACCTGCGGCAATCTGTTGTCATTGCCCCAACAACTATACTTTAGTGGGTGCTAGATGTGGCATACACCATCCGTTATGACGACGACAAAATGAAGGAATGGGGAGTTGAAGGAAAACTCTACGATGGCGCCAGCCACTCCCCACTCCCACTACGCCTGCCCCAAGCTCAATTTTCCTTTTCGCCCAGGGCTCAGTGGTAAATCCCGTAACAACATGGACACAGATGTTACCAAAAAATAATGACCATGAAAAGCAGCCTTAATGATGCCAACTAATGTTGTTTCTCTTGTTGTTTTTGTTGCCTGTCTGTTGTTTTTCCGAGCACCAAGGCACAGTGAAAGCAGTTTCTGTATCTTTTGGGTGTATCTGTATCTGGACGTTGCTACTTGCCTTTGCGGCTTGTAACACACGGTGGATATTAATTGTATTTTTATTTCGCATAATGTTGCAAATAATAATTACACAAATGTGCAAATGAAGTTGTAAATTATCCTGTATCTGGTTTAATGGCGCCTTGGGGCTGTTGTCCTTGACGTTGATTTTGCAAATGGGCCAAGGAGCCATTTGTATGATAGTCTGGGAGAGGTAATTAGGTTTATTTTGATAGAAATTAATTGGACTTAAAATTTCGTAGGAGATATAGTTTATAGTATTATTAAATATTAAATATTTAACAATTTCTTGCTATTAATATTCAACATCTTGTATACCCACTCCAAAGTACTCTCCACAAAGCCTATGCAAAGCAGAACTCTTACATTAAGTGCCCACTTAGACGCTTTGTTAATGATTCTAACTGCAAACAGCTACCAAAAATCTGCTCCATCATCAGGGAAATGTAGAAATTATGCCGATTTTGAGGCAGCACACGCCCCGGAAAAGCTACGGAACGTGCTTGGGAAAAAAGGCGGTGGGTGGTTGGTTTGAATCCTCCTTTAAAAACGGGCCGGGAGGGAGGTAGTGGCTGGCATGGTTATCCAACATATGTTGCCACAGAGTGAGCTTGGTAAACGAGGCCGGCAAAATGAAGCGCAGCCAAAGACGTTAGTCATGGTTTTGTGCATAGTTTTTGCCGCTGATGTTGCCGCTGCTCCTTCTGGGCAACATCATGGGCATCGCCATTTGGGTGGCTGTCCAGGGGCTTAATATTGTCTTAATTGAGGGTTAACCGGCGTTGATGATGCGACTTATGGGCTGTTGTGTCCGCCCCCCTTCCGACTTAATGACTTTGACAATGTGACTCGCCTAATTACACATGCCAGCGAACTTTCGATTTAAAAACTTGAATTAAATTTTTCATTTTCTTTGTTTTTGTTGCAGGTCTGGTTCCAGAATCGTCGCACCAAATGGCGCAAACGGCATGCGGCGGAAATGGCCACGGCCAAGAGGAAACAGGACGATATGGGTGGCGACAACGACGGGGACTGCAGCGAGGCCATGGACAGCGACAACGAGAGTCTCGACATGGGTGAGAATCCCGCCCAGAGCAAGCGATGTCGCAGCAACAGCTCCGGGTCGTCGCAGCAGCCGGATAATTATCGTCATTAAAACGAATTTACAAACTAAGAGAACTCTTCGCAATGAAATGGAATGGAATACACTTGAAATAAATTTCAAAGCGCCAGCTAATTAGCTAGACAGCAAAAAAAAAGAACATAATGAAAGTATAAAAAAAAAATACAAAAAAGCAGCCACAGCAGCAGCTAGAAAAAGCAATTGCAGCTAAAGGTTTTTTTGTTTTTGGGTTAGAGTTTCCAAGGTTTTGCCACTTTACCGTCTTCTGAAGACTTCATTTTCTTCCCCTCTAAGCTATCTTACTTGAACCTTTTCCACTTTGTTTATTAGGTGTGTAAATATTTATGTTAATTTAAAAAAGAAAAAAGAACTACAGCTAACATAAAGCTTAATTGACGTCGCTAATTGGTAAGAAGATTAAGGCAGAAAAAGTTAAGGCACAAGCACAAAAATTAAACTGAATTTATTACATAATGTATGTTTAGTTTCTAATTCCTAACTTTAATGTAATTTCGTGCATTAGAACAGACCTTAGTTCATACAATTAAAGAATAAATATAAATATATATAAAATATTAACGATTAACTACGCTAACTGAGATTGCGCAACAATATTCACAAATATTGAGGAGGACGATGGGCAGACGATGATTAACTATGGCAGTAAAATATATGTAAAATGTATTTAAATTAAATTTTAATTTTAAATATTTCGAATTGATGAAAAATAAAAAGCAAAGAAAAATACAAAAATTAATGCATTAAAGTGTGTTTGTTTCATATTGGTCAGGCTAAGACACCTGTTATCCCACCAAGGGATCCTAATCCGATCAGCTAACACCTACTGGAAAAACTCAATAAGAATCCCGGCTTAAGACTCATAACAATTACAAACCGGAAATCTGCATTAGCCACTCCTCTGCATGAAGTCAGTCCGTCAAAACGACAATCCGTCAAACGGACAAAGTCAAAAGGATTAGCCAGAAAGTATTTCTTTTGGCCAACAATAGCGAAAGCGGAAAGGAGACCAGGAATACGGGGGGAATGTGTGAATGGAATCAAGCTAAGGCCATAAGATTGATTAACTGTCAATCAAACGGGCATATAAGTAGAAATCATTGGACAGGCAATGAATAAAATCGAGGCAGGTTCAAGAAAACTGGTAGATGAGGTGGCTTATAACAATAAATATCATTAAATTATGAATGCCCGACAAGGTGATATGAATGGGGAAGAGATTCCAATGCAACAAGTAGGTGATATATAAAAGGGAGTGAGAGATGGTATACTGGGAATACAGGATTTAAAAATATTAAAAAATAAACCCAAAGATATAGCAAACAAACCATCTCATTCAGAGTCAAATATTCAGCCTTCAACTATCATGAATCGAATGCCACATTATCCGCGCCCTGGCACTGGGAATCCGGGTCTAATGACTCCGCAGTGTCCGGCACTGACTGTTGCAACTACTGAACTGCCTGCTCCGCCTGCCTCTGCCTCATTGTTGACTCCTCATCTAATGGAGCACCCACATTAATCATGCTTTAACAGCGAATGCAATGGCAAACAATCGGTCACTTGGGTCAGTCTTTCTTTTGGCGGAGGTGTTCGATGGATGGGGGTTGGGTCCATTCAAAATGCCATTAGCATACCGGCGATAATTACCTAGACGAGCCATTAGCGGCAGACCAGTAAACAGCAGCCGTATTACGTGAGGCTTCAGATCGGAGATCCACAGGCGGCTCTTCTGTAGAAGAATTCTGCAAACTCATGGAACTCATTGAACCTGGCACGTTTTTCCCAAAAAGAAAGGAAACTAGAAAGGCAATCGGATGAACTTCCGGAGATTTTTAGCATTGTCTCAGTACGCGCCCAGAGTCAACTTCCAGCAATTGACGAGCGAGTGTGAATTGCCATTGAATTTGCCATTTCGAATGAGGTTTACTATTTTTCGCCAGCTGCGCAGGCGTCCCTTTGGAACTATCGAACGTGCTCGGCTTTGGTTTTCTTTCGAAACTCTCGAATCGAAAGGGATCGATGTGGATCGGTTTCAGGTAAATCCCTGCTAAGCCGCTTATTGACGCTGAGGTTAATAGAATTTCTGCCAAAAAAAAAGCAAACACAATGAACTGGTCCTGTGTGGAAACGTGGTCCCTGGTGGACAATTTGACTTGGGACCTGAGGTCGGCTAATCTCCTTGCTGAAATATTGCAAGGCGTTTTAGGAACAGGGCTTGCCGATTCGGTTTGTTTGTGTACCGGCGTGTCAAATATAATTTGATTAATTGCTTTATTGTTTAGAGTAGAAAACGATGCCCATTGCATAAGATTAGATATTTTTGAAATCATACACTTAAAGGGATTTAAAGGGAGGTTTATATATTGATCTGGATTGGATTTTAGGGCTTATAATGACAATCCTGTTAAGTAGATTTTATATAAGAAGACTTCAACTTTAAAAAGAAGAACTTCTAGTAGTTTCCCCTCAATATTCAATAAAGTTCAGCCAGAACATTAAAGAAGCACTCTTCAAAAATCGATAGAATTGGGAGTATGAACTCCGCCCACTGAAAAAGAGAGTGCCCGGAGAATTACGAGGAGTCTAGCTGGTTGTCCTGCCCGTAAATAGCACGACACGGCCTGGTTCGGTCCAACCCGGCTTTTGTTGGCCAAAAATGTACTCCACATGGCAGTTTAGGCCGACAATGACAGGCCGGAGTTTTGGAGCTGGCCATCAAAACCGCCACAGTCCTCAGCCCTTGGCAGGCCGGATGGCAGGCAGGATGACACCTCATGAATGTCCTCCGACGCGGAGCTGGGAGAAAGGCCAACAAAACATACAAGAAACATTCGGATTTGGCGCGGAATGGCGGACCGGGGCCACTAAATTGTCCCTCGACACAAATTCGAAATCGATAAATGATAAAAATCAACAGAAACTTCATGGATGCTCCATATCTCTCTTGCTCTCTCGCTCGCTCTTGATGGGGCGGCATGTGGCCCTCTCGCTTGCACACTCACTGAAATGATGGCGTCGGCAATGTCGCTTCATGAAGCTTTTATTGTCTGTCTATTTCTAAGCTTTGTACATGGACTCCACCGAAAACACAGGACCATGCGATAGAGACAGAGAGGGGGCTAGTCTATGGCTGTCCTGCTCGCAGGATTAGATTCGTTCTCTCGCTCCCACTCGCATTCGTGTATATGCGACGACGGGTTGTGCAGCAAATTTTCGAAAACTTACCAAATTGTTTTCGTTGCTGGGGTTTTGCCGGGTGGATTCCAATGCTGATATACGAGCGCTTTCCGTTTTCACCCACCGCCACCCCCACCCCACTTATATCCCCACCCGGAAAGTATGCTGTCTATTTTCCGGGGTATGTCTCTCCATCTGCGAGTGGGTAATATACGATGTATCCCCCTTATCCGCGTTGGTATCTGTGACTGTGAGTGGGTGCCACTGTTACTGTGGTCCTTGTATCCTTGTAGGCAGACACATCGACATTGATTATGCCGTGTTTTTCGCTTTGTTTTGGCCCCCCCATCCCGCTATCGCGTCCTTGGCGTCCGCTAAAGCGCCACAGCCCCAGCGAATTGAATTATTGTTTATGTTTATAGCAAAACAATGTCAGAGTATGCGTTTTTAATGATCATTGTAGGGGCCATCAATTTATATAAATAGGGAGAGTTGGAAAAATGGAAAAGTTGGAAAGGGGTGGCGTATTACAAGATGGATATGTTTAAGAAATTGTTAGATTTGAACTGGATGGTTATATTAAACATATATGTAAGGTTAAAAAAGCACTTTCAAGTCTTTAAGGAACTATGTTTAATAATACTTTTTGGTTTAGAAGATATAATTCAGTTTTTAATGAAATTACGTATACGAAGTGTTGAACATTAGTCTTTAAAATCACTTTACCCACACAAAAATTAAAAATAAATGATCTTTAAGAAATAGATTCTTATTTTAAGGCTGTACTTATAAAAAAAAGTCTACATTTTTCATTTTACAAAAAATAATATATTAAATATATAAAGTCTGCCTACATAAAGTTTTATAATTTAAGTTTGTCTTTGTATCTCTTAACCTTCAAGACTTATGTATTTACTTACATTTGGCCTAAAACGATATTTTTAGCTACCTGACATTTTAAATTAACCCCTTAACTTAATTCTTCTCCCCACAAAAGATCCAAAAATAAATAAAAGAAAAGGAAATCCCCCCACAGCATTTTTTAATTAAAAATCCAAAACCGAATCCAGGGGGACTGTTAATGAGCTGCCACCGAGGTCGCCCGGTACAGTAGCCTATCAAATATGCAACAAACACGTCGCAACATTGAGGCAAACAAAGAAATAAAAACCAGAAAGAAAGAAACAAAGCGGCACCGAGAAGGTCAAAATGTAATCAAGTCGGGAAAGTCAGTTAACTGGGCCCGAAAAAGTCAGTTAACTTATCACAGAGAGAGTTCTTAGGCTCCGCCTTTAAAGAGCGCGAACATGCGCAAGATGGCCAGTGTTCCAGTTCCATACCGTTCCCTTCGCGTGCGGAAAAGAGACAGACTGCGAGGGGGAAGTGGGTGGTGGGGATGGCCCCATGTTTTTAACGCTCTCGACATGAAAATGAGCATGAAACGTGCGACAAGCGAAGGAGTCCATTTTGAGTTTATTGTTTGATGATTTGAACATTTTATATATGTATATATGTATGTATGTGTGTGCGCCTGTATCTGTGCATGTGTGCGTTAGTCCTTCCTTAGTCCTGGCAAGTGTGTGTTGGTGTGTCTGTTGTAGTTGTATCTCTATTTTTTTTTTAGTAATTGCTTTGATGCTTGCTAGTTACTTGGCTTAAGCTCCTGACTTGTCCTTTCCAAAAAAAAAAAAGAGTTTATTTCAGTGGCCATCCTCGCACTCGCCAGCCCACAAAATAGTTCATCTCTTGTTTGCTTGGGCTTTCTCTTCTTTCTCGCCATTCCTGGGAATTTATTGCTCTTTGATTGACATTTCGGGAAGCGTCAATTCGCAATTAATTCGCCATATAATGCATGCGTCACGCTATCTCATCAATTTCTATTGTTTAAACGTTTGTCACCTCCACGCCGGTAGTTTATTAATTGACCATTTTTACGAGTAT